TTTTTTTAAACAAATTATTATTTATATAATAATTTATTAAATTGAATAAAATAAATGAATAAATAAAAATTTATTGGGATGGAACTAGTATAGGCTATCTTGACCTAGACCTGACTCATTGGCAGCCCATATTGGGCTCAAGGGGAGAAAATAATTTGTTAGTAAATTATTTCTAAATAAATAAATAAATGTTTATTAAAATCTCTCTCAATGTCAATTCTCCTTTATTTTGTTGATTTGTTTTATTAAAGTAAACAATATATTTACTTTGATTAAATAAATAAATGTTTAGATGATGATGATAATAATAATAACAATAATAATAATAATAAATAAAAGTTGAGATAGAGAATAGGATGAGAGAGAGAGAGAGAGAATTAGGCGAGGGAGAAGAGGGGTGGCATTTTATTTTATATGATGGTATATTCATAAATAATTATATGTGGCATTCTTATAATTTTCGAATGTCATAGAGTCAATTACATAGGGAGGTTTGTCCTATATGTGGCACTCCTTTAATTTTTGAATATTATAGAGGCAATTGCATGGTGAGGTAATTAAAGAGGACACATTTGTCTTATATGTGACACTTTTGTAATTTTTGAATACCATATAATCAATTGTATAAGAAGATTTGTCTTATATGTGGCATTCCTATAATTTTTGAATACCATAGAGGCAATTATAGAGGTAAAGAGAGTAAAGAGAAAGAATCTAGAGAGAAGAGAGAAGGGGGGGTGATAAATCAATTTTTTGGTCATGTATCAATCTTTTGGCTAAGTACCTCATCATTTGGTCTCCTTCCAAGTGGTCGATGACTCAGAGGCCGAAGTGGAGCTGCCTAGGTGCCGAGCTGCCTGTGAGGTGCTGGGCTGACCAGGTGGCGAGCTGTCTGTGAGGCGCCGGGCTGCCTAGGGGCAGGGCTGGATTGATGAGCTTCGTTGCTCTTTAGAGACCTGCAAGGAACTAAATGTCAGAGGACCTGGGGTGGCTAACCCGGCGAGGTCGCTCTGATGCTTAAGTTAGTACTCTCATAGTAGACTGCAAGCTAAAATTCACAAAGTATGAGAGCTAGAATTTGCTTACTTGCTTGCCTCCCTCATGTCATTGGGGTTGATGCCTTTATATAGGCATTGTTTTGCGTGGTCTTCACACACCATATCTGAGATTTCTGCGAGGTCGTGTAAGTGGTTCGAGATTCCTGGAGGTAACCGCCATGCATGTTGACCACCCTCTAGATCGTTCGGCACGTGGGCCAACTTCCAAGGATCGTGGGAGTGTTTGGATATGCATGCCGAATTCGTCGGCGAGCACGTCTTGCAAGTCGCCAGGTCGGTGCATGTGCCAGGTCACCAGGTCGCGCCTGGGCCAAGTTGCCAGGTCGGTGCCTGTGTCAGGCCGCCAGGTCGGTGCCTGTGCTAGGCTGCCAGCTCACGCCAGGCCGCCAGGTGGGACACCATCAACTTGGCTAAGGCAAATTGTTGCTAAAGTGGTTCCGGGTGTCACATGTTTGTTTCGAGGTGCCATGTGTCACAATATCATTGGAGGGCCAAATCCACCCTCATCAGGGAGAGAGAGAGAGAGAGAGAGAGAGAGAGAGAGAGAGAGAAAGAGAGAGAGAGAGAGAGAGAATTGACAGTGAGAGAGGGGTAAAGGAGATAAGGGAGGGAGAAACACACATCAAAATTTTAGAGAATACCTATAAAGCCAACAACATACCACGTGCCAACTTCTAAATTCTATCCGTACACCTTCCCAATGCTTTAAGTATATACTTATAGATTAGAGACAGAGACATACCCGATGATGGTTGAGTGGCGACCTGAGGTTGGTGGCATTGTGGCAGTGTGCATTGGTTGTTGTAGCCTGTGTTGTAATGGACGGTGGCTTATGCCCCCACCTATATTGTTTGTGAAAGCCCTACATTTTTTTTTTTTTGTGGACATTAAAAACAACATTAATAATATGGATGGGTAATCAATGAACAAATCTTGGGAATTTATTCAGTGGATGGGCCCAAAATGGGAAACCACTAAAATTAACTTTGATGCTTCTTGCGACCCCAATGGTTTCACGACCCTTGATTTCTAGCAATGCAAACAATAGAGCATAAACCATTGGGGTTTATTGATTGTTTGAACCTCTCCTAAAATTAACATTGATATTGAAGCTCACAATATCACCCTTAACTTCAGGAAATGGCCTATCATCATCGAAGGAGATTATTAATTGCTTAAGAAAGGTGGTGGATCCCTCGTGGAGACTAAAAGTTGTGATTGAAGAGTGTTTGGGGTCATGCCAGTGGGATAGGTAAACTGAGAACTAGATATTGAAGAGTTTTCGGTGGCAATTTCATAATATTTTACAATTTTCTTGTCCTTTTTGCGTTTAAGGGCACTAAAGATGACGTGTAAAAAACCCAATCAGTTATGCAAAACTGGGACTGGTTCTACGGTTTCCAGGTTGGACTGGCCGGGTGGACAATTTTTTAGCAAAATGGTTTTATGCATGGTTTTGAAAACTAGACCGAACCGGATGGTTGGACCAGTTGACACAAGAATTGGTCAGGCAATTGATTCTGAGCCAAAAATTGTTGACTTGGTCAATGACCCACTGATCTGGACGATCGAACCATCAACCCATCAACCCAAATAACGGTTTCGGCTGTTTTTTTATTTGCATTATTTTTTTATTTTTATTTTTTAAATCAAAACAAATCATCCATTCAAACCAAATGATTGAACCATTTAACCTAGGAACCGGTCCCAAAACGATTCCATGTCTAATCCTATTTTTAAAACCTTGAACTTAGGGGGTATATGTATATCTAAACTGGCCAGGGGGTTATGCACATATCAACCAGTCTGACCGGCCTCCAGTCCACTTTTGCATATTGCTCAACATGAATGGAGCTAATAAAAGACAACCAGGGCCAACTACTACTGGACTTATTAGTCATTAGAAATGTGGTTACTCTACTTTTTAGGCATCACGACAAATGATGTGGCAGAAACATAGGCTCTTTGAGAGAGAATGGGAAATATGTCTGCTTTCAAACATAAAAAGTTTGTCCCAAGATAAGAATATTGATTCAATATCCATTGACTGAAAAGGTACAAAAAATATCAATGAATAAAAAATAAAAACAAATAGAGGAAATCTCAAGAACAAAGCTCTTTCTCTCCCTCCCTCACTCTCTCACCAAATCTCTCATCAATTTTGTCTTTTATTATTATTATTATTATTATTATTATTATTATTATTATTATTATTATTATTATTATTATTATTATTATTATTATTATTATTATTRTTACTGTTATTGTCTAAATGGAGATATAAGGGGTAACTTTGTGATTTAACACTCAACCATCTACTCAAACTAATGGATGTGGTCAATTTAAGAATAGTTGCCAATAGACTGTTCATGGGCCGGGTAGCCCGACGGTCTAGCTTGGCCTGGCCCGTTATAAGTCGGGCTTGATCATAATTTTTGGCCTGCGAGCTCGGGCTTGGTCCTAAAGCACCGAGCCCGATTTTTTTTTTTCGAATCGAGCTCAGGCTTTCTCAAAATTGCCCGTTCCAAGCCCAAGCCAGACATTATACTATATATTAAATAATAATAAATATATTTTATTTAATAATATATATATATATATAATATTTTTCTTTGTTCTTCTTCTCTTTTTTTCAATTAATAGTGAGATGCCTATTATTTTTGAGTTTTGAAGGTTTTTAATATAAATAAAACACTTTTTTATTGAATAAGAAAAGGAAAATTTTCTATTTTCAAATTACTGGCCGGGCTTGGGCTTCAGGCTTTATATGAGGGTCAGGCTCGGGCTCAAGACTTAGGCCCGATGATCAGACCAGGCTTAGGCTTGGGCTCGGGCCTGAATGCATTCTGTTGATACATAGACAAAGCCCAGCCCATAAACCTTAGCAAAAACCAGAAAGAAAGTAAAATCACGTCACCTAGTAGATTGCCTAAGTTATCAGTTTTGGGTGATGGTCATGGGCTGATCGGGGGGGGGGGGGGGGCTGGTCAATGGAAAACTTGGCTTTATTTTCGGTGTAAATATTTATCAATTGACTTCAACACCCATTTGGTTTAAATGATTAACTGTTGTAAAGTGAAATGGCATGATTATCCATGTAAATAATACATCACTTTTATCGATGTTATCTTTACATTGATTATGGATATAAAACTCCAATTTACAGTCCATATTTACATCAAAAAGAAACAAAGCTTTATTTGAAAATGTTACCGGAGAAGCACTTCCCCTAATAAGTGTGATTCACCTGAAAACAAATGGTTTGATCATCTGGCCGGTACCAGGACAAAATGGCAAGTAACTTCATTGAATAGTGGTGGTGAGAGGTCAGTGAATCAGCGAAAATTGAAAGACGGTAGCATGGACTGTTTTATAATGTACTCGAATTGGGATATCCTCCTAGCGGCGCCTCACAACGATCTCACAGGCACATCTCACCGTGCATTGAGAACATCTTCCGTAAATAATAACACATAAATACGGGAGATGTTCCCAATGCATGGTGGGATGTGCCTGTGAGGTTGGTGTGTGTTGAGGGCCCGGGAATAGGATCTCGTCACGGGTCTGTCCACGAGGAAAACTTCATGTTTTCCTTTGTTCCTTCTTGCTCTTGATGAATATATCTTGGCGCCTCTGGTGATTTGTCCAAGAGATCACCAATTCTCCTAACTCACTTCTTAAACTGAATATTCGATATCCTCATTCAATAATGGGGTCTCCTTAAATAAGAGATTACAAGAGTTCTAATCAAAGGGAGTCTCCTTGCTGAATAGGGAGACTTCCAGTTCTATCTTGCTAAGGATAAGATAAATTAATCCTAATCTGATAAGCTACTAACAAGATAAGATAAGAGCAATAGAATAAGATAAGAACAATAGAATAAGATAAGAACAATACGATAAGAACAAGCAAGATGATCTAATCTAATCTAGATAAGGCTGCTGTTGCCGAACTGGGTAGGATGAGAATCATTGAATCACTGCTGCTGCTGGCGGTGGGTCAAGTGCTTGTTTCTGCCAGCGGCGATGGTACGTCTTCCCGAGAAATGCATCCATAACAGTGTGAGGAGCAGATCCGATCTCAATAATGTATCAAAGATGGACTGACTTTTAAGTAATGAAATGAAATATATTAGATTAGGTAGTTCATTCCTTGATTGCTGAGAAAAACTGTACTCCCAAAATTAATTGTTTAAGTCTCTCTACAACCATTTTATTCTTCTTTTCACATTTTTTCTCTCTCATTTTCACATTTCTATTGATAAATTCAGATAACAGTCTAAAGACATTAGTTATAGCTTCAAGCTGGCTTTTTAGTTTTTCTTTTCTGGGTAATCAAGGTGGCTTAGTGATAATTAGCCCTTTCCCTTCGATGTCTATGATATGGAGTCAATAAAAAACTGTTGGCTTCCTTCAATTTTCTAACTGCAGTCTGCAGAGTCATGGAGGAAGAAGAAATAATGAACTCTCTCGAAATTAAGGATTGGCCGAAGACTTGGAGAACGTCCAATACATGACTTCCTGCTGACATCTTTGAAAACGATCCATTCATTTCTTTTCTTTCTACATGAAGGAAAAAAGTGACCCATTTCAAAGCCTGTACTGTTCAAAGTTTTGAATAGAACCAGAAGCAAATAACATATATGACTGATGATTTCTCATTCATGGCGTTGAAGATCCATCGTCTCTTCACCTCCACAAATCCTCTCTCTGGACATGGGTCTTCCTTTATTGTTCTCCTTTGCTGTTTCCTTAGCTTTTCTTTTACATAGACAAGCCCCATCTATTGCTGGAGATTCATCTCCTTCAGATATTCTTACAGACAAGGAAGCATTGATCTCGTTCAGATCTTCCATAGCAGCAGACCCTTCGAACACTCTATCTTCATGGGACCAAAACTCTTCTCCTTGCAACTGGACTGGAGTCATCTGCAACAATTCCAGACAAAGAGTAGTTGGCCTTGATCTTGCTGGCCTCGGGATGACTGGTACCATAACCCCATATCTTGGCAATCTCTCATTTCTTACTTCCATTCATCTACAGAACAACCAACTTTCAGGAACTCTTCCTGATAGAATTGGTGGCCTCTCTCGTTTGCTGGTTCTAAACATGAGCTCAAACCTCATAGAAGGTCCCATCCCTCCAAACATAAGCAGGTGCAAAGAGCTTACAGTCCTTGACTTGATGGGAAATCATTTATCAGGAGAAATACCAGCAAGGCTTGATCAACTCTCAAAGCTTCAAGTCCTGGACTTGAGTCACAACCGGCTTTCTGGTGCAATTCCTCCATCCATCGGAAACCTATCCTCACTTACCACTCTGAACTTAATCACCAATTTCATTACTGGATTAATTCCTCACGAGTTGGGTACTCTTCAAAACCTGAAAATGTTGGACCTCACACTCAACAATCTTACAGGAACCGTCTCCCCATCTCTGTACAATATTTCCTCCTTGGTTCATTTTGCTTTGGCTGCAAACAATTTGTGGGGTGAAATTCCAAGTGACATTGGTGATAAGCTCCCAAATCTTCTATTCATCAACTTTTGCATGAACAAATTTACAGGTCGAATTCCAGGGTCATTACACAACCTCACCAAGATCGAAACCATTCGGCTATCCTGGAATTTTCTTGATGGACCAGTCCCACCAGGCTTGCAAAATCTTCGTAATATTGAAATGTATCAAGTAGGGTACAATTGGCTTGTGAGCTCCGGTGATGATGGTTTGAATTTCATTACAGCTTTGTCAAACAGTTCCCGTCTTGAACTCCTCGCTTTTGGAGGAAATCTTCTGGAGGGAAAGATTCCAGAATCCATTGGCAATCTATCGAACACTCTCAGAAATCTATACATGGGAGGTAATAGGATCTATGGGAACATACCCCCATCAATTCGCTATCTTAGCAATTTGAGTTTGTTGAATTTGAGTCATAATTTGATATCGGGTGAAGTTCCAACTGAAATTGGTCAACTGAAGGAATTACAGGTGCTTTGTTTGGCTGGAAATAAGCTATCCGGAAAAATCCCGGATTCCCTTGGAGATCTAAGAAACCTGACTAAGCTTGAATTGTCTGGAAATGAGTTGGTGGGAAGAATACCAACCACTTTTGGCAACTATCAGCGCTTGCTCTCAATGGATCTATCCAACAATAGGCTTAATGGAAGCATTCCCAAGGATTTTTTCAGGATATCCAGTTTGAGCTATTTTCTGAACTTATCAAAAAATTCTCTGAGTGGACCTTTGCCTCAAGAAATTGGCTTATTGGAAAACTTAGTCACAATCGATCTCTCTGAGAACCGATTGTCTGGAAGCATACCTGATTCCATTGGGAACTGTAGGAGCTTGGAATATCTTTTCATGGCCAGGAATTCATTTTCAGGCCAAATTCCCAGAACTCTTGGACAACTATGGGGATTAAACACTCTAGACCTCTCATCAAACCAACTTTCTGGCCCCATTCCACCTGATATAAAGCAATTACAGGTCCTTCACTTCTTGAACCTGTCTTTCAACAACCTCAAAGGAGAAGTCCCCACAGATGGGGTCTTTCGTAATCGCTCCAGCATTCATCTTGAAGGGAACCCAAAGCTTTGTTTTCCTTCTGCGTGTGAGAACAGTCAAGGTCATGGAAGAAGATCATCTGTGGCTCGGATCATCATCCCCATTGCAAGTTCAATTGCATTGTGTCTAGTCCTGGGTTTGTTATTGCTAATTCTCTCTTACAGAAGAAGCACAACTACAACCATGACTACCCCCGAGACACCAGAGACGCCAGTTAAAGGACAGTATCAAATGGTTTCCTATGATGAACTGCGCGTGGCAACTGGGAACTTCGATCAGGCCAATCTGATCGGAAGTGGGAGCTTTGGGGCCGTCTACAGAGGAATTCTCAGGCAAGGAACAGTTGTTGGGGTTAAGGTCATTAACCATGGGACAAATGGAGCGCTGAAAAGCTTCTTTGCTGAGTGTAAAGTTTTGAGGAATGTGAGACACAGGAACCTTGTTAAACTGATCACTTCCTGTTCAAGCATTGACTTTAACAATGTTGAATTCCAGGCTTTAGTCTATGAATTTATGGAGAATGGGAATTTGGGGGATTGGCTTCATGGAAAGAGAAGGCATGAAGGTGGAGAAGGGATGAATTTTGTGGAGAGGTTAAATGTGGCCATCGATGTCGCAAGCGCCATGGACTATTTGCACCATGGCTGCCAACCTCCAGTGGTGCACTGCGACCTGAAGCCAAGAAATGTGCTTTTGGACGTTGACATGAATGCTAAAGTTGGGGACTTTGGGCTAGCCAGGTTGATGGCCGAGAGAGAAAGTCAGGAAACATCTAGCACCACTACGTGTGGCCTCAAGGGCTCCGTAGGATATATACCACCGGGCAAGTTTCTTTACAAATTCATACATCTCTTCTCCAGCTCATTCACACACAACCACAGTACCACACACCCACAGCTAGAGTAAAACAGACAACTGCTGTCATGTTTGGCTGACTGAGTACTTGAATGCAGAATATGGTCTAGGTGGAAAAGCATCAACCAGAGGAGATGTTTACAGCTTTGGAGTCGTATTACTGGAGCTCTTCACCGGGAAGAGCCCAACCCATGAGATGTTTATGGGAGAGTTAAGCTTAGCCAAATGGGTACAATCAGCCATCCCTGGCAACATTAGAGAAATTTTGGACCCAGAGCTGCTACACCAAATGGATTACTTTTGTCCTGCAGGATACCACATAAGCCCCACAATTCAACAAAAAAGTTTGGAATCAATGCTGGATGTTGCATTATCCTGTGCCATCGATTCACCACAGCTGCGCATTAACATGAGAGTCGCTCTCCATGCATTGAAGGACATTAGAGATACTGTTGTCAGAATCAATGAAACTGTCCAGGCATCACCGAAGAGTATGGAAGATAGCGTGGAGGCAGATACTCTTGTCAAATTCAATGAAAGTAGCTGGTCTGTTGTATTTTAACAGTCAAGTGGCAAATAGACATGCATCCTACAAACACAACCGATGGAGGACGGTATCAAATAATAGAATGTTTCGTTTAACAAAGGATGATGAATGAAACCTTCATTGATGCTTAAACTAACAAGAGTGATGATAACCATTGTATGTACATGCCAACCATTGCAAACTGCAAAGTAGATCAAGGGGTGTGTTCGCTATATCACAGTACTTTCTAATTTCAAAAATAAAATTAGGGTTTAAGTACACTGGCAAACACCTCCAAATATCATAAAATCACAAAAATAATGCATCCCTGACCAAAGAAAAGCAGAAATAGAACAATAATGCCCTGAAATGAAGTTAAATTAAACTCAGGTATGACGTAGAAAGAGTTAAGTGTGTGGGCAAGTACATTAGATCCTTAACTGAAACCACTACCAGAATTCAACGTTTCCGGTTGATATGGATATGATATCAAATAGTACCGGTAAATCTACAAAGCCATAAAAAAATCATAACTTCGTGTTCTCAGTTCATGCACACAACTGATTGTTCTATATACTATACACAGGCATGATATCCAATATAGTACCATTCAATTAGATCCATAGGCCTTTTCCTTTCTGCATGGTCCCAGAAACTTCACAAATCACAATGTCCAAGAACAAGATCCTCCTCTCCTCTCCACCACAAGTTTTCTACAACCTCATCCTCAGTTATCTACAGACTTCGTCTACTGGTAGTCTCTGTTGGGCGTTGGAGGAAAGTCTCTACCAGGCATATCTCTCACTTGGTAAGGGTTTCCACCTTGCATACCTCCCATGTCCCTGTTTGGTGCATAGCTGTTCTGAAAATCTCTGTTTGGCATGGCACCATTAGGCATTTCCCCACTCTGGTAAGGCATCCTTCCTCTGTTAGGTCCCTCCCTGTTGTGAAAGTCTCTGGGTGGCATGCTTCCCATGTTGTTGGGCACATTGGAGTATCCTGCATTTGGGGGCATACCTCCCATATTTGGCATGGTGTTCTGCACCGGTGGCATTCCTCCCATATTAGGCATGGGGTTCTGAGCTTCACGGTTAGGTGGCATACCTCCCATATTTGGCATGGGGTTTTGAGCATCACGGTTAGGCATCGGTGGCATTTCTCTTGCTTGGAAATCACGGTTCTGCATATTTTCTCTTCTTCTCTCAAAGTTCCTTGACCGATCAAAGTTACGGGGCCTGTCGTTGCGCCTAGATCTCTCATTTGCCCGTGCATTATTTCTTACCCATTCCTCATGGTATTTGGGGTCATATGGAACAGCTTGCCCATTAATAAAAGGTTCCCCTGCCAATTATAAAATACAAATACTGAATAAGAAATAATCAACAGTATCTTAATCCCAAATAGCAAACCCCTAATACTATCCAGCTCACAGTTGCAGAAAATTAAGTTAGAAAAATTGTGAACAGCAAGGAACCAGAGTGATACACTTTTAATTTTACCGTTGACTTATTATTGGTAGAATCCAATTATCGGGAAGGCCAGAAAAAGGCAATAACAAAAGCTATGGGTTTAGAAAATCTGTCTGTTTCCTAGAAGATTCAAACACAATGGTAATCGACTTTCACTACCTTTATGTCTCTGTTCAGATTTTGGGTTCAAATGTTCAAAGAGCATCCATAGATAAATATACAAGGATCAAAAGTACAAACATGTACTAATATGGGTGAGAATATGCAATACTTCACAAATGCATGCATAAAATGCATAAAGTACCTAGTTTCTGTTTTCAAGAACATGTCTTCTAGAAACTGACATACTTCCAAACTCAAAACAGGAGAAAATTAAACATGAAAGACAAAACAGTACACCATACCTCCATAGTCTTTGTTTTTAACATCCAAGTAAGAATCAGGAAGAACCCACCGTACCCTTGGCAGCTCTGCATAATTTTTCAAGGAAAATGCTTAGTATCATATTACAATTTCAACAGAAATAAATCAAACAATGAACATTTAAACTGTTACGCAAGAGCATACCCTTGATTTTGTATGATAGCTCCTCAGACACAAGGGCTCCAAATGCGTAATAGTGTCTAGTTGACACTGAATAAATTTTCATCCTTGCTCCTTCCTCACTGTAAATACAAGGGAAAACTAATCAGCAAACCATTTTCTGCTACAAACCTAGTTTTAATATGATAAGCTCAAAGCACAGTCTAACTTGAAGGGATTCTAAATGCTTCTGCTAATACACATACATAAGAAAATTACAGTCGGAACTGAACTTTACAAGATCACCAAACAAGAAAGAAAAAAGGAAGGACAAAGTTCTGACAAAGAAACAAACTGAGAACCAAAAAATAATAATAATAATAACAGCCATCTCCTCTGCCATCTATCTAATCCTGTCTACAAAGAAGTTCTCTTTTAAGTTCTATGGCAATTGGAGGATTGTGCTACCAAGCTTCAACTCATCCAAACATTCAACATAAAGCGTACTTTCAAAATCTATCTAAAATTATCGTTTATTTTAACACCCCACTATTCCATTAAGAGGGATCATTAGAACACCATAAGAATGAGGAAATTGTGGACAGGCAGAGGATAGCAACTACCAACTTTCCTCGTCAACCAGAACGTGAAAAGATAAAGTAACAATCTATAGTCACATTGCAAGAGAGCGAACTGACCCTCTTAAGTAGGCAGAACACTCGAGGGAGAATAAATTAATAGATATCATATCAACACGCATCATGCACACGTAGTAGTAAAACATAAGAACTAAGCTTCTTCCGACAGGAGTTTGCAATTCAAAATCAAATTATACAAATAAGCACTGCGAATTAGCAGTTTAGGGCACCCATCAACGAAAACCGAACCAAAGAAGACAAATACTGTAAATCTTTGAAGCTAATTTCAGTTGAAGTGAAAATTTCTTAATGCTATAACAATGTAGAGATGCAAGAATTATTTTTCGCAGTAAGAATGCAACAAATTGTTTTAATAGCCATAATACCGCAAACGAACTTTAATTGAAGCCTCTATCAAACCATTTCTGCCATTTTGTCACTAGAACTCTTGAAAATATGGATACGAGAAAAAGGCATAAAAGAACTAACCTCCCTACGACCATAGCGAGGGTCTTGATGTAACTATCGATGATTTCATCTCTCGTCGGCTCCCCTTCAGGTTTCTCCATGACAACGAGCCAATGCTCGAAATCACAACCATCGAGCAGTATGGTCTCCTTCGGTGGACGATTTGACCAGTTTGGGTTCGGATCGTTCAAGGATGAAGAAGTCGGTCGCGTTGCGAAGCATCTCAAGCCGACCGGCGACGGGAACCGGCGGAACTCTGCAAGGGCAACGAGAGGCCGGAGGCGGAGAAGAGGAGACGAAGAAATGAGAGTAAGACGAGGAACAGAGATAGATGTTGACGCGAAAGTGCGGGAGAAAATCGAAGCTAGGATCGGTTTGTTGATCAAAGTTGGACTTCGACCCAGGAAGGACAACGCCATGCTTGCTTCTCTGCAAAAACCCTAGTTGAGAGAGAGCATAAGGGAGAGAAGTGTGTTCGAGGGTTTTGGTTTTATATGCAAGGACAAGACATCGGGCACAGGGCACTGTTAAGCAAGTATTAAGGTATCGATACATACTTCCGATACGGTGCGTATCGCGTATCGTATCCGTATCCAGGATAATGAATATTAGATACGCTATTTCGAATTGGGTCGTATCGCACCATATCAGTGGATACGGTTTGATATACACGAAATAAAAGTGTATGTGTGTTTAGTTTGACAAAATTGTATATTGAATATTGTTGGATTGTTTTTTATTTTTAATACAAATTAAAAAAATAATATAATGAAAATTAAAATAAATAATTTAAGATTTAATTTTTTCAAAAAAATTAATAAAAAATTAAAAATTAAGTATAATTTTTTATCTACCTTAAATGATTTATTTGTTTTATTTTACAATTATATATAAAATAAAAAAATTATATATTAAAAATAAAAACATATTTATTTTTTAAAATAATTATTATTTAAATAAAATACTAAATTAATAAATACTAGCGAGGGTCACGGGCGAGTAATGCCGATTAAGTGGGAGAATAAAAAAAGAACAATAGAAATTGTAGTTGTGGGATCCGAATCGGGATTTCTAATGTAATGAACCAATTAATTTATGAAAAATATATATTATATAATAAAGATAAGAAATATAAATTTTATATGCACGAGTACAGAAAAGATCTTATTAAACATATAATTCCCAAAAAAAATATAAATTTTATATGTATCATAATGGAACCATCTTACAAACAAAGTCATCAAACATGAACCAACAAGTTTTGTAGAATAAGCCACCTCTACTACACATAATTAAATATGCTGCAAACAAAAAAACTAAGGTCAGATGAGAAAAGAACCAAAAAAAAAAAAACAAAAGAAATCTGATTAAGAAATTCTAGAAATAAATTCTGATTAATAAAAAGCCTAAAAGTGTACGTTTTAACAGTCTAACTTTTGACTTTGCTTCTTGTTTCTCACGACGACTCGATCAAGCCTCCGGTGACCGAATCCGGCGGAGGAGGCTGTGAGTGGCGGTGCTCACCCTCGTATGTGACGATCAGCATCGTCGGGTCATCTACGGCCCGCTCAACGTGCTTTCTCGCCGGGCATCCCCCCTCAAGCTACTACACTTGTAATACCCTCTAAAATGAAATGAAAATAGAGAAACTTTAGATTTGATACGATCTTTGCCTCGAGAATCCAGATCGAAAGCCGACGGCAAGTGGATTTAAAATATTACCGTGGGTAGGGGGAACCTTTGATCGGTTTTTGGCCGTATTTTCACCAGGAGTACTCGTCGGGTGGGATATGGGCGCATGGCGCATGTTATCATGCGCATGGCTCAAGCTTTGTCTTCTCTTTGCACGAGATTTCCTGAAAAACAAAAATTGGATTTTGCTATCATGCGCATGGCTGACTTGCCTTGCAGCAGCTAAATGGTTCTACCATGACTGACTTGCCAACAACATCCATTGGTGATGAGAAATCAGAGGAATTCATGTCTTGGGGTAAAAGTCTGAAGGTGGCATGAACAGTAGAATCCGTGCTAGACTCTGGCAAATTCTCCATTGTAATTGAATGATTGGAATTTGTGAAGACAAAGGTGGTATCATCGGCTTCCTGGGAAAGAGAGATCAACTGGGAATGTATGTGGCTGGAATTGCAGTTATCCAGCCGGAGAGAGAACTTTATGTTCCTGTTTTGATGTCCCAGTCACCATGGTAAGGCCAGAGAGAAGGTAGGGGCCAAAACGAATTGCCTGAATAGAAGCATACTCAGGTCGGTCATCTGAATTTCATAGATAGAAAAAGGAATGTAAGTTGTATTCAAATACAAACCATACACCTTCATCTTCTCCTAGCCTTGCATCTAAATAAATGAAAAATGGCAGTTAATATAAATCTACAGCAAGAAAGTACGATACATACACCAGTAAAGAAGAAATATGGACACAAAGAATCTCCAGTGTGCTACCTTTTATGGCCTCTGTTCTTAAGCCAATGGGAAGTTGCAGAGTCAATTTATCACCATCACTCCACTTCCGATTAACTAACAGAAAATTACCTGCTTGTGGTTGTGGAACATCAGATGATTAAAACATTGTTTTTCTGATGTGATAATGAGATCCATATAAACTATGAGAATTAACATATTAAGGATTTAATATTGCCTTGAAGTGGTAGAGGCAAAGTTTGTGCATTTAAGATGGAGGATAGGTCTAGCCCCTACATGAAAAAGATGCAAAACGAAACTCAGTTAATTATTCCATAAGCAAACTAAATACTTTCTATTACAGGAATCAATACTGGAATACTTGCACAGAGACAGAGAGAAGCAGACCCAATAAAGAAGATTAACAGCTAAGTTACAGAAGAAAGAAGGTGAAGAAAAATATTAAGCACCCTTGCTGTTCTTTGAATCTTTTGATTGATTCAACATCATAAATGTTATACACTTCCCTAAAATTATTATTTATTTTAGGGATTGAGATGGAATAATCAACCATTCGGGTATATCTCTAATATCAAGCTTAGGATTGGACATGTGACCTATTTAGTATATGTACGGTCTGGATTGACCACGCTATCCCCTTCTATCGTATAGGAATAGGATGGTTCGTGAAGGGAAGCTTCCTGCTTGACCCGATTACTGATCTGAAGACTGAACCGTTTCTTATTTGTTTGTTTATTCAAGCAAAACGATGTTCTTTGTCTCCTAATGGGGTCACTGGTTCCAAATTCTTGAGACTGACCCCACCAACGGTTCTAGGGTCTATGGGTTTATCCTACTCGAACCGACCCAATGAACTGGCCTTGGAATCGGATTTACCTTGAAATAAATCTCAAAATATTTTTAAGGATGTGAAGGTTTGAACCCAATTACTCATGGTTGCAAAAGTCATGGTCTCACTTTACCATTGAATTACTTAAGTGATTTGATCATTTGTGTTTATTTTAATATTTGAATGTGCATAATAAATAATGTAAAATATAATATTTACAAAATTTAAATTACAATGATGAATTTTAAACTATATATTAATATATTATAAAAATCCACATATTAAATTACTCGATTTAATCAATAAAGATAATATAAGTTTTATACTATATATTGTCATTATTGAAAATCAAGTTTTTAAAGGACATCTTTCATTATTTTTGAAGGTATGAAGGTAATGAAAGAATAGATTCCATGAATAGACCCTGGAACCAACCTCAAAACCGCCAATAAAGTTAGAACCGACCTTCACAGGATAGGTTCTAGTTCTAAAAACTTGGAACTGAACCCTACAAGGTAAATTTCAGGTTCTACCATAGAACCAAACCGAACTGACCCATGCTCGCTCCAAATATCCATATATGCATTATTAATTTAAGGGGGAATGTGAAGATATGTCCTATTAGGATAACCCTTGTTGTATATTGTAACATATTGTACATATTTATTATTTGGCTTTATTTCTTTCAGCCCTATAAGGGCACTTTTGTAATCGTATATATACGACCTTTAATAAATTAAAGGCTAGTAAAACCTTAAGGAAAAATGAATTAACCAGAATTTGAACTTTCATATTTGTACTAATATTGCAAATTCTACGTTCTTTTTCTTTTTTACTTTTTTGTCGAAACATCTTGTAATCTTGTTCGGTTATCAAAAGAGTATAAGTTATTAGGTAAAATTGAGGGGTGTATTTGGCTGAACCCTTAACGGAGATATGATTAATTTGCCATTAAAATTACCAAAATCACCTTGGGACGAGTCCAAATTAGCTGCATTTGATGGCTGTATTAGAGGCTGTTTAACTAATACTAAATTAAACACCCCATGTAAACAAGCCATCAAGTGAAATGAGAGATTGGAGTGGTTGTGGGACATTTATATGCACTATTATCAGTTAAACAGCCACTAACACAGCCATGATGTGCAGTTCATCTGGACTCTTCATGCAACTACAGCCGGGTCATCTGCACATTGGCTTGAGATTGAAGTCATTGAACCCTTAATAGACTTTTTTTTTTTTTGGAGAAAAGAAAAGGTTTTATTGATGATAGATAAATGAAACATAAAACCTGACCTTCAAAAGTACAACCCTTAATAGACAATTTCTAATCTATGAGATTAAAAGAAATGCCTCTCATGTTAAAACAGACAATAGAAGGAGATTACATCCAATACAATATATAATTGCAATATTTATGCAAGAAATCTTGGTAGTACAAAAAAAAAAATTCTAAATAGCTGTAATTATCAACTATTGGACAGATAAAGCCCTCAACATCTTTTTACATTTAATTAATGGATGAGAGAGAAACTCTAATTTCTGGTCCGGTAACATCTGTACCACATAATCAAATAACAAAGCACTCTGTACCCAACGATGAATCCAAACATCACCCCTAAATTGTTCCATTTCTCCAAGTCTTTCAACTCTTGCTGTCTCAAGAAACCATCCCCATAAAAAATGCAGACTCCTCCCTCACTCTGCAAACACCTTCTCCTTCCCTTTTCTCCCCCATATTCATTTATCATAAAGCACTCGAATGGGTACTTGAAGAAACTCAAGTAGTGCATGAAGATCCAGTACTTGGGTATGCTGTTCTTGGATATAAAATACCCAGAGAAGAGGAAGAATGAACCCATGAACCCAGCAATCAACGAGTTCCCCATGATGAAATTTGGCACGAGAGCACTGAAACATGCCACAAATGAATTCGACATCAACACCACCACCCAAACCACCAAACAGAAGTATAGAAACCCATCGATTTCTCTTCTCAAACCCACTAGCCAATATACTGGAACGCTGTAGAGAAGAGCAAACAGTAGAAGGAAGGGGAGGAATACCAGGGTGTTGGCCGTTACGTAGGACGAGACTCTGTAAGCTCCTCTGGAGGTCTCTCTCATCAAAATTCTTCTCTCCTGTAAGAAAATCGGTAGCCCTTCTGTTGTTGAAGAGAGCAAGAAAGTGAGACTGAAAGCGAAGAACCCGAGTCGCGTCTGCAACCTGACCCGGGTGGTGTCATTGTTGACATTCATGAAAATGGTTCCCAGCACAACTCCGGCGACTAAGGCTTGGATCATTCGGGCCGCAAAAAGTTGCTTGGTTCTGAATATGTTGCTGCAGAATCTCTGGCTTAGAATTAAGACCTCTCGAAATCGAGAATTTGGGTAGAAAATATGCTTTTCTTCGATAAAATCAGATGCCGAAGTTGTCGTCAACCGCTTTTTTTGTTGCTCGTCTTCTTCCTGATGATTTTCAGCAGCTTTATCCTCAATCAACAATTGGCCTTCAAGAGCCGACGAGGTTTGTATACCCAGAGTCTCTGTAACACCAATGGCGAACTCAAGCACATTGACATGGCACGGAATGTAGTGGCCAGCATCCTTAAGCCGCTTCTCGAGGAAATCCATTGATCCATGGTGAAGAACAGTTCCATTTGATAGCAAAACAACTTGATTGAACAGCTCGAGAAGGCGGAAACCAGGTTGATGGATGGTCAACACAATTGTCTTACCTTGGTTAACCACCATAGTTTTCAGCAGCGTGACGACATGGAGAGCTGATGCAGAATCCAGACCTGACGTTGGCTCATCGACCAAAAGAACAGATGGGTCATGGACTAAATCAACTCCAATGGAGACCTTGCGCTTCTCACCGCCTGAGATCCCACGAGCTGAATCTCCGCCAATCCTCGAATCCTTCACATGATCCAACCCCAGTTCTTTCAGGAGTTCTTTCACTCTCGCTGCAGCCACACTACGCCCACCACATCCCCTCAGACGGGCGCTGTACATGAGTGTTTCTTCGACTGTTAGCAGCGGGAAGAGTGCATCGTGCTGGGTGACGTAGCCCGACACTTTCCGAAAATGTGCAGCACCCATGGGCTGATCATTGACAAGAACCTGACCGGAAATTCTACCTGGTGGAATCATCCCTGCAAGAATTTCTAACAGTGTGGTCTTTCCAGCTCCACTAGGTCCAGCAATAGCAGTGATCTCCCCAGCCTTGGCCACGCAATCTACATTCTTCAGAATGTATTTAGTAGCACTCCTGGAGCTCCCATGGCCGCAGCACAACCAGTCGTATTCATCAATTTTCCGACATAACTTGTAAGAAAGATTCTTGGTTTCTATTCTGTATGGGGCTTTCCGGTCACCGGAGACCGGTGCCTTCACTGGTAATGCCATTGTGGGAGACAGTTCCAGAGAAGGGGAGGGTTGAAGGGGTGCAGAAGATGTGAGAAATTTGAGGAGGGAGATGAGCTAACACACCAAACGCTCGGCTGCTTCAATACACGCTATACAAGAATATGATATTTGCATGCATATGGGTGAGCTTTGGCTTGACCGAGCTTTTTATTTTCTCCAAATTTTGTTGTTTCCAGGTTTCTTAATTTCTTAATGCTCTTCAGGTGAACTGAAAAAAAGTCACTTTCTAGGGTTTGATGGGTTGGTTGCCTCACGGCCCTCACCATCTATTTAGCCTTCAGGTCCCCATACTGAGTTTTCTCCTTCATTCTCTTCCCCTATTATCAGTCGTTAGATTGGAATTTTTGCAAATTCAAGGAGTTTGGCAGTGTTAGATAAGAAAATATACCCCCTACTGGGTCCTACTCTATTTATTTATTTTTTTATTGGATGAACTGTATGCCAAACAACTTTCATTTCTGATTCCCAATTAAATAACCACCCTCTTTGATTACTTATAGCTCACCATCTCAAACTGCCAAATAAATGGGATGGATCCTTAGGTAACCTTAAACAGGTACGTATGTTTGAATTCAAAATTTGATTTGATTTCATCAGTTGTGGAGAGAAGAGAGAAGGGTTATTTCAACTCTCAAAGATTTAAAAACCGGACCGGACACGGAACCGTTTTGGAGACCGGTTCCGGGTTGAATGGTCCGACTGTCTTGTTCGAACAGATGGTTCATTTTGATTTAAAAAATAAAAAATAACTAAAATAGAAACATCATAAACTGTTTTCCAGGTCGACGGATCAATTACCTGGGTCAGTGGGTCACTGATCAAATTAATGGTTTTTGGCCTGTGAGCGGTTTTAAGGTGAAACAGAACTGATTGTCTGATCGATTTTCGGGTCAACTGGTCTGATCCGATTTTCAAAACCATAGTTATCTCAAAGGTTTTGATAATCATAATAATTTCCCCCAAGGTTTCACTTTAACAAAGATCTCCCCTGCGTAGTTTCACAGAAATCTGTAGTTGGTGCTCTTCCATCTTTATCGCAGTAACGGAGACTTCAAAGTTATGAAATTATCCTTACAATTTATTAAGTCATCTTTCAATATAATTTAAAATGTCAAATTTGTTCTTTTAGACTTTACTAGATCTAACATTTTTATGAAGTAAAATTATTTTATTCTTTTCAATCTTGATAATTTTTTCATTGAAAGTGAAAGATTCTTTTGAGAATATTTTAATAAATTTCCATATGAATTGATAAATATAAGGGTAAAATGGGTATTATATTCAAAATACTAATACATTTGACCAATATTTTTCGTCTAAAACAAAAATAAAAGGGAAGTAACAGCAGGTTTTTTCAATTCTACGGTGGAGGCTTTAATATTTTACCCTAAGGATAAATACAAGGAGAGTTCTAAGGCATGAATCCTCATGCATTAGGTTAATAATACCTACAATCCCTAACTGCTAAAAAAACAACCCTGAAACCCTTACCAAAAAATCTCGACGACCCACCACTTGATTGTAATCTTTAATTAATAAGAACCCTTGATTTGTAATATTTTTATCTCAGTATGTCAACAAAAGAATAATCAAATATGAACCCATTTGAAGCAAAGTTTGGGAGGTAATTGGGGTACTGGATTATGGGACCATCCACGGGCACAAATAGTAGTACTTATTCACTTCTTCAGAGATATTAATTAGATGCCATCCATCATCCATCAGAAACTCAACAAACAAAGACTTATAGAGCTCTTCTTTGAGAAGGAACCATTTACGTACCTACCTAACACTTAGGAGCCTACCTGTAGAATAATAATTAATATAGATGGATTGGCCAGTTGGAGCTTTCCTTTTATTATAGGAGACTTTAAGAAGATCATCTGGGTTTGTATTGGCCAATTCAGGTACCCATTAGACCTAATTAAAGCACTCTTTCATTAAGGGGGGGTTTTGAAGCTTCAAAGGAACCATTTTGTATGCTGTACGAAGATTCTATTCTCACCTTTCATTCCAAAACCTCACAAAAGTCCTCTTAGATATCCAAGGAGGCTAACTGCAGATATTTTCAAGGTCATGGTTTATTGGATTTGTTAGTAAGTAGGAGTTAATAGAGAATTAAATAGGCCCAATTGGAATGGACTGGATCTAGCCTGAAGTTGGAAATTGGGTTTGTGGTTTGACAACCAAATCACGAGAAAAATCAGGTGGGCTTAGTCTACCCTTTGAATTAGTCCTAGTTCAATTTAGCGTTAACGTTAGTACGTTACAAGTCCTTCCTGTATCCTAGTTCAAACTTCAAACCGGGCAGGAAAATACGGGCCAATGAGATTAGGAAGCGTTAAGCAAAAGGTATATGCTTCTTGTGAATGTGCAGTCAGAGAACCAGAGTAAGTAACTGATCATGTCAAACTGTGATTCCACGAGAAATAAACTTCTGGTATTAGAGAGAGAGAGAGAACTATTTTGATCATGGTTTTTAAAATCGAATCGGACTGTCTGATCGGAAAAACTGAGAATCAGTTTCTGTTTTACCCCAAAATCGTTTTTTTGTAAAAAAACTGTTGATTTATTTAGTGAACCGTTGAATCAGGTGGTCAAACCATCAACCTGAACAACAGTTTTGGCCGTTTTTATTTTTTTCTATCAGATCGAGCCATCCGTTCGGACTGAACGATTGGACCATTCGACCTGGGAACCAGACCCCAGAATGGTTCCCCTGTCCGGTCTGGTTTTATAAACCTTTGATTTAGTGCTGCACGAATCGATATATAGATAAATCCAAATTTGATTTGTTTGCATTAGAATTTGAGTCGGATTCTATTATATTTTATTATTAAAATAGTTTAAAAATGATTTTAACATTATATTTTATGAACAAAATGAATTAAAAATTATTTAAACTAGAACCTATGACAATGTAATGAAAATACAACATCCAAACCAACTTTACTAAAAGTTACAATATAAATTTTAAGTACATATAAGCATATATATTTTAATCGAATTGAATTGGATTGTATTTGATCGAATAAGGTGGAATCCATATTTGGCCCAATTATTGATGGATCAAATTCGGATCAAATTCAAATTTGAATTCAGATAATTGGGTACTACTTGTACCCTATTTTGATTTCAATAGAAGCAATATTGTCAGGCTTGGACAACTGTTTTTATCACACTAGATCACAGGTTGAAGGGTTTGACCGTCAAATCTTCTAAGGCTCTGTTTGGCTCACAGTTGAAATTGGAATAATCTATTCCTCCACCTATTTGGCTTAGACGTAAATTGGAATCAGAATTGACCCCAACGGGGTTCTCATTCACAAAGAAGGGGAGGAAATGATCATTCTCTCAAGTGGAGAATGCCATTCCATTAGGAATGAGAATCATATTTCAATTATAACCAACCAAACAGTAGATATTTTGATTCTGATTCCAAATAGGGGTGCAACTTGGGCAAGCCCAACCTGAGCTTAGACAACCCAACCCATAATTTTACATGAATTGGGCTGGGATTTTCAATCATTGGGATAGGCCTAGGCCCAAAAGTACAGCTTCTTTAATTTTTTGGGGGCTAGGCTCAGACCTAGCCCTTAGGTAGCCCAAACCCATCATATGACCATATCTCAATTCAAGCCAAACCTAATTACATACATACACACATACATACATGCATACATACATATATACATTAAAAAGCGCCAATAACCTTAGAATATTTATTGATTTTTTTATGACAAAATTTACCCTTTTATTTTAAATTTATTGATATAAAAATGAGGGTACCATCTCCATCTGGACCGACAATGTTCTAGATGTATGGAGTATGCACAGATAGATTTTTATGGTGCTAAAACTAAAAGAGAAACAGACAAATAAACTTGCCATTGATTCATTGGCATTGTCAAAGACATAGCACGTAGAAGACAATTTAGGTGGTATTGGAATGGATTCCAATAATTTTCACTTCAGTAGCCAAGAAAGAATTAGAGAAACCTGACTGACGATGGTGTGGAGTGATGATGATGAAAATAAAATGGTCATTACTCATTACATCGGAAACCTGACTGCAAGTCTCACACTTGGTCATTACTCATTACATTGGTGAAAATAAAATGATCATTAAAGTGGAGTGATGATGGTGTGAAATTAGCATGGAGAAATCCGAATATGTTGTTTCACATTGAACAATACTTTTGAGTTGAAATGCGTCGAAATTCATGGATCGACAATTGATAATTCTATATAGAATTCATAAAAGAGAAGCATGATTATATTAACTTTTGGCACACCCAATATCTTAAACTTTTGTTTGGCCCGGTGACATAAGGTTTAATTATTCTTCAAAGGTTGGTACAGGTTGCAAATTATGTACGTGTCATAGAGCCAAGATGTCTCTTGATTCTGAACGTATATTGAGGCAAACGTGTGGATTCAGGGAGGTAGGACCCATAACCAGTTTGGACACCATAATATGCTAACTATTGATCAAAGCCATACATCTAATTTATGACCAGTTTGATGAGCCCCACCCACACCGTAAACAAGCATCTTGAATCATCCGATTTATGCATCATTTATAGGGTTTTTTTGGTTTTATACTCTTATTTATAGACTCCCAAGTTCAGCATTACTTTTAATCCCATTCAATTATTTCCTTTAAAACACAAATTCTGATAAAAAACAAATAAAACTATTATGAATTTTAAATGGTTTTTGACCCAATTAATAGTATTTCAGGTGGGATTCATTGAATGCTTGATCTCTTCATCTTAATGTAGGCCAGATGGCAAGTTAGGGGCCCAGACCAGTTTGGGTATTGTGTACACAAACCCAAGCTTTTGCCATATGTGAGAAATAGGGGAATGTATTGTGCATTATATTCTTGTTATGTATTGCAGAATAATGGTTGTATCATTTGAAGCCATTATTTTCTTCAAGAACTTATTAAATGAATTTAGTACTCAATTGCGAATTTCACCTCCAAGAATGATTGTTGAAGACATTAATAAAGACTTTAGAACTATAATTATTATTAGACTTGAAGAAGACAAATGGAGATTGTGGAAAATGGAAAATAAACACCTAACAAGAAAGAATTAGAACAAAATACATCTTTGATAGTAATGAAGCAAATAATTGATTTCTTTAACATAAAAGTTTTTATGTCAATTATGAGTAGTTAAGGAGATTTTGTTGGAAGTGTAGGAAATTTGAAAATCATGTTGAAGGACTAAGGGTTGAGATTTCAAACCTAAAAAATAGGCTTTCTCAATTTGAAATGGAAGAAGTGATACAGGTGGAAGATGATCTTGAGAAAGAAGACTATTTAGTTGGTGGCAACTAGAAAATTTTGGTAGTGTTGATACAAATTAATAATACACTGTTATGGACACACCACCGGGCAGCACACTTCGGTGCAGGCATAGGCAGCAGCACGCACAGCGGGCCGCCCAGCAGCACGCACCGCCAAGAGCGCCGCACAGCAATCCGACAGCGCGCCGCACGC